GTAGCCCGGTCTGTCGGTAGCGCGGGCGGGCCGGGCCGCAGCGGTGCCTCCCGGTGGGCAGCAGTGCCGCTTGACGCATCCCTTTTCTCCCTTTCCGACTAGAAGGTGCTGCTTGTTCCCCTCTTCTTGGAGACTTACTCATCGTTGAAGCAGCCCTGAGTAAACCCCGTGTCCCTGCCTGATAGGTGACTCTTGCGGGAAGCCAGCTGTCAGAAATCGAGGGGTAGTTGTTATTTGTTTATGGAAGGTGCTTGCGGCTGTTCCAGCAGTGAGCCAGCTTCGCCTGACAGCTCTGAGGTTGGATTTTGCCTGTGAAAGTATGGATTCCCAGGGAACTGAAATATTTGGCAAGCACTTTTTCGCTCTAAAAGGCTCTAGTCAAAGCAAAAAGGAATGCAAAGACTGTCATCTGTCTGTTCATTTGTGCCTCTGTGTACAGACCTCAGCTGTACTGTGCAAGCAGATACAAATTAGGTTAATCCAGCGTGCTTATTTAAGAATAAAAACTGCCTTTTGGACCAACATAGTGATAGAATTTAATAAATTATTTTTCTTTGTTTTCTAAACACGGTGTTGGGAATAACAATCTTGAGAAACACAGGGCATGGCTCTTCTCAGAGTGGCAGGTGTTGTAGAGCAACTCTTGATGTCAACAGCTAATGGCAGTAGATTAAGCATTAGCATAACTAATGTTTGTGGCTGATGGCAGAAAGTGAGGGAGCTTGCTCCATGGTTGTAAAGATTCCCTCATGTGGTTGGTTCAGATACATAGCTATATATATATAGCGCTCCCTATATATAACAGCTATATATAATCCTTTATATATAGACTCATTCTGGGTAGCTGAATTCAAGTGATGTTTGTGACAGATGAAACTGTCCATTTTTAAGTGTTACTCTCTTTTTCTAACGTTAGTCTTTAGAAATATTATTTGGAGGCTTCTGTCATCTGCTACTTTCACTTCCGTAATTGTGGAAGTACTTACAGAATGCTTATTGTTCTAATTGTTTATAGATAGATTTTCATAATAATGAGTTTCAGATGTGGCTGCCAAGTGTGTGAGGACAGAAGAAATTGCACCTCAAAGCCTGATAGAGAACATGACAAGAACAGATGAGATTTATTACTTGTCATCTGACAGACTGAGAATTATGCACACTATATATATAATATATATATATATATATTTATATATATAGCATTCCCTCTGCTGGTAATCATCACAAGCTTGAAGTACTGTTGTCCAAGTTAGGTCATTGCTTGATGTTTGTTTACTATCATTTGACCTGTGTTGAAATCTTGAGTTGCTCAGCTCTTGCTGAAATACATAATTCCCTTAAGCAAGATTTAACTTAAAAATACCTTGCTAAATCTGTAGAGGAAATGCCTGTACACTGTGGATGTTTGGTATCAAGGCTGTCTTTAATTCTGGAGCCTTTACCTACATTTGGGAGTTTCCTAGTTAATATAAAAAATGCATTGGTGAGATGCACTAAGCCTATTAGCACCCTTTCTGCCAGATGGATGTAGTTTGTATGGAAGTTTGGATGATCATTTTCAACATTTCTTTACATTTGTTTATTAGATTATTTTTTTTAATGTCTCCTGAAACCAGTGGTGTCTTTGGGTGAAGATCTGTATCACTTCAGCAGTAAAATTAATGAAAGCAGACAATCTGAATTAGTTCAGCTTTCTGAAAGTTGCAGAATGGATTAATAGGTAAAAGTTGGGGTACCTGCTGAATTAGTATAAGAATAAATCTATTGCAAAACCAGGAGATCCAGCTTTCTTAAAACCAATTGAGGAATTAAGAGAGGAAAAGGTGATCCATAGCGAAGGGAAAAGGGGTGGCGGGAAAAGGAAAAAGGAAGGGAAAAAGAAACAAGGAGACAGGAACAGTTGCTGCTTTTGGACTTTTTGTGTAGTAGCAGAAAAGAAAATTAATCTGAGTCTGATACTATTTTGTAAACTAATATTTTTTTTTTATATGTTATCTAGCAAGAATATTGTGAGGGTGTAAGTTACTGTGTGGGAGATGCTGAGATATGGGGGCTGTGTTAGAAACAAGCACCCATCTGTATGGCTCTGCAAACATGAAACAAAACTACCCTATATCAATGTTTGCATACACCAATACAACGTTATGTTAACATATTTGAATGCCAGTACCCCAGTGTGAAGCTTTTGCCTTACCTAGAAGAAAAGCCACTTTGCAATAGAAAATTACACTACTGTAACTTGCACAAATGCAGTTTCATCCTGCAAGGCAGCCTGTTCTAGGTAGGTACCGTGCACTGCATCTGAGCACAGCTTTCATCACTTTGCCAAAGCCTCTTCGGTCATTTGACTGTATTAACTTCCTTGTGCAGTTTGCTACACTAGCTGGATGGTTCTAATGGGCATAGCATACTGTTCCAGTTCACTTTCCAACTTCACATGTGGCTACGTGTGGTGCTTTTTGATGACAAATTCTGCATGTAGGCAGAGGCCAGAGGCTGGGCCCTGCTTACTTCAGGAGTTGCAGAAGTCGGTGGCTGACGGTTGAATCTCAAACCTCCTAAGAGACTGACTGCATGTGTATTTTCAGATGCACCCCTCCTTGTGAGCAGCAGAAACCTGGGAAGGTAAGGAGCAAGTGTTTGGGGTTTTTTTGCTTACCCAGTGATTCTTTAATGTGTGGTCTTGTGTAGCTGTACTAAGTATTCTTCTTCCTCTTTTGTCTATCTCTGAGATGAGAAGCAGCAGCTTAAGCCCGGTTCCTGAGATGTGAAGATGAAGATTAAGCCTGGTTCTACAGTAAGTGCATCTTGAGAATGTTCTAAGGTGTCGGGGGGAATGCATGGCCCTTTTTTTGAAGGGGAAAGTGCTTGTTGGCTCACCATACAAAGGAAAGTGGGTTTAGTTGATGAAATGGTGAAAGAAAGGCTGTCATAGGTTTTTATCCTTTAACTAGCAGCTGTTTTCTATTGTAGATCTGAGATGCAGTAGATGGTGCTGAAGCAACACTGAGGCTCCTGAAATATCCACAGTCCAGTGTGTATACAGAAAGTGCCTGCTGGCTCTCTCCCAAACATTGACCGTCCTGTGTCTTCAAAAGATGCACTCTGGGACAAGAAAACACTGACTGTTAGTTTTAAAAATGTTAATAAATAATTCTTTGTGTTACTTTTTTTGTTCTTTATTGCTTGTGAAGGTAGGCAGATGAGGTAGTACAAATACCAACCAAGTAGTGCTTCAGGTGGTTTCAGTTCTGTGTCCAGATAGTGGTCAGATTTAAACTGTTGAATGTCAGCTCTTTGACAGCTGTTGCTTAGTGTTGCCAAAAATCAATGCTGAAAAACAGGTGGAAGTTTGGGAGCATACTGCTCTAGGAATATGTATTATAGCACACAGCCACAGTGCTTGTGTTTCCCGTCTGTCCATGGCAGAAGCATGCAGGCAGGAAATGTTTCACAGTATGACTAAGAAGTTGTATCAAGGTTTGTACTGTCAAAGTAATGCACTCTCAGCAGACCTTACTAGCTAGGTAATACGAGCTGATTGCTCTGCAAAAGGTCCTCTCAAGAATGCAGGTTGGTAGCAGTGGTCAGGGTGCCAGCTAATGACAGTGGCATCACCTCTCAGTTCATAGAAGTACCTGTCTCTTTGAGCTGTGTAGATTTGGCAAGTGGTAGATTGTATCCCATTAGTGTAAGTAAGTATGCCCTTTTTACATTGGAGCCATTAATTTAATACTACAACTTTTGGTAATTTGCCTGAGGGTGGGACCACTGACATATATCCAAAAACAATGCTTAGCTGACTTTAAAGATGTAATCACTGGTTTTGTGAATAACCAATATTCCTGTCCACTCCTTCTGAAAATTCTACTAGTAGCATGGCGGGATTGGTGTGTTACGGTAGCGTCACTTTCTGGGGTTGTGAATAGCAATAGGGAACTTGACTGGCTCTCTGAACCCATGGAAGTTATTTTCAATTTTTTAAGTGTAGAGAGTGGATGAATGGGTAAGTACGCTTCTTGTATTTTCCTCCCCCTAACTGGAGGATCTTAAGCTTTAGAAGTGCTTTAATGTTTCACAATTCTTTGGCTTCTCTTCATTTAAGAGAGCCTTCCCACTGCCTATAAAAGCTGCCTATAAGTGGCTTTTTTCAGATCATTTATGTATGTGTGAACATAAATAGACGCCCACACCTTTTACATGGGAAGTGAAAACTATACGAAAAAAAAATTACAGTTATCTTGGGTGACTCTGTACACACCACTTCTGTATGTAAGGGATATGAGCCTGAGAGCAATGGAAAATTGTTTTCCCTTGTTCTGTTGTGCTTCTGTTTTTCCCAGTGTACCATGAGTATACCCTGCAGGATTCAGGATCCTTATGTAAGGAGAGAACAGTCTTTAACCACAGCAAGTATCTTCTGAATTGGTCTTACAAGTGAATACTATGTTTTTTAGCTTGGGAGGAGGGAGGGGAGGGAAGAGTGTGAAATGATTCCAAGTTCAGATTAATTTCTCTACCTTATATGAGAGAAAAAGCAGATATTCCTTGTTAGCTTATTTTAAAAATTCATAATCAATTGTGGCATTTGCAGGCTGCCTTACTAGCAGACTTTTGTAACTTTTTTCCTACTTTTTACTACTGTGAGCAGTAATATAAAGACTAACGTAAGGTGAGTCGTTTTTATAACACTTCAGCTGGACCCTTATGAATGCATTGAAATCCTGCAGCAATCAAAACCAAGAGCTAGTGATAGTTGTAGGCTGCTATCTATTTTGACTGAAATCTACTGGGGGTCCTTAGGTGGAGAAGTTATTTTAAACATTAGAAATTCTAGTAGGATTACATTATTTTGGCAGTTTCTTAAAAAGAAAAAAAAAATTGGACTGTTTTGACTGTTATAATGCATATTGTAGAAGCTAATTTTCTAAATTTTTAAGTGTGTATTTATTTCAAGAATACATGTTTTCTTATGCATTGTATTCTGAAGAAAATGGTTCTGGTACCAGTTGGCTTATTAGATTCTGCTGTAACTTTAGTCTGAATTCTTACAGCCTTGTGCTACCATCAAATGAATCTCACTTTGTCCTTTTGTTGGGACCCAAGTCTTATTGGCAGTTTCTTTCTCATTTAGATACTTGATGAGGTCACTTTTCAGCTTTTTGCGGTGATACAAATAATTGAAGATTTTAGGCCTTATATTACTAGGCAGACTTTTCAGCCTTAAGTGTTTGAACATAGATATTTATGCATTTATTTTAGTGTTCAGTATCTTCAGGATTCAACACTTCGTGCATAATTCTCCAGAAGTAATACATTAGTCTGCTGATTTGACTTCGAGCTTACTTGTAAGAATTACAGTTGCGCTCTCTTCTGAAGTACTTAAATTTTGTTTTTAGTGACTTGAGTTACTGCTTTTCTGGGTGCAGTAACATGAATTATGTTTTTAGATAGGTGATGTATTTTAAATGTTCAGATGCATATTTTTCAAAATGGCATGTTTTGCAAGGTTAGTCTGTGTAATGGAGCTGTTCTTGTCACCAAGCTTAGTGTTTTGTGTTGGTTTTAGTAAGAGAGAGGGATGTTTGGGGCTTTGTTTTACGTTAGCTCCTAAAAATACTGACAGGGTGAGCATTGTGTTTACTCTGAAAGAAATACCCCTTTGGATGTTCGTTCCACATTTACAATAACTTATGATCGGTTAATTGTTTTTAATCCACAATACAATCAACACAAAAATAACATTATCCAAAATTAGTAAGGATGGCACATGGAGATAGGCCAAGAGCCTTATGGGCGTCAGTCACAATTGCTTTTATTGCTTGTATTTGTGGTTTCTTCTGGTTGGAGACTTTGACTGATACTTGTTTATTCACGCTTATTGTCTGTTGATTTTTTTTCATGCTGTCACTATTCACATTTTATTTTTTTCTTTTGCCTTCGCTTGCTAGGAAAGATAAAGGCATATTAGAAATGTATAATGCTTAGAGAAATCAAATGAAAATGCTTCATGTATTTGAGTTCAGTCACAAGGAGTCACACTCCTAAACTAAGTCTTTGAAATATTTTTGCCAAACTCAAGACCTGTTTTGTATATCCTTTCAAGAGGAGGAACGGGTATTATGTCACCTTTAAAGGAAAGAATCGTTCCATTGCCTTGAATTTTCATGTACCCTTCAGATGGGATACAGAAGACTAATAGTGATTTGAAAAACCTGAATGTAAGGAACTTGTGGTAAAATCACTGTTCAATACTAGGAATCTCTTTTATTGCTGCACATTGTAAGAAAACAAAATGGTGAAATAAAGCAACTGAAAAAAAATCATTATGTCAGTGACTTATGATTTTTGCACATAAAGATAGCATTTTAAATTTTGTGTGTGTAGGTGCATGTTTTAGTCCATTTGCTTTGTGCATGTCAGAGTAAGCTTTAAGAAAGTGATCACATAGAACTTTAAATGGGTTTAATGTAGGTATTTGAGCTCTTAAAGGCATTTGACATAGAATATTCAACTTGATGAGTGCAAAATTTAATTAATTTCTCTGAACAGTACAGTCTCCTGCTCCAAAAAGCAAAACCCACACAACTTTTAATATTGCAGTGTGTCAGATTTACTTTGCATTGCTGTGCATGACAAAAGCAGAGCCAATACTCTTTTCTGATTCCATGTCTGAAACATAAATGGAGGTATATTTAACTTGTTTAACTATAGATGTTTAGTCATAAAACTTCTGCAGTTTAAATGGAAATAATGTCATCATTTAATTCCTTTGTCGTGTTATCTCATCCTTCGTGATTTAAGTTTTTAGCTGTCTGGTATGTTCTGTGCCTACTCTGTGCCATAGTTAACTTTGAGTAATTTATATTAGTTGGTTTGAAGTTGGTGAGATACTTTAATTTTCCCAAGCAGTGAAGAGATTTATTTATCGGGTACTGCAGATAAGCTGCTATAAACTTTCTAAACAATCTTTTTCTGTTCAGTGGAGTTGCTCAGGTATTTTAGTGATACTTTGGAAACAGCTTGGGTAAATGACACAGTATTTTGTATTTAGGTTAGACAGCTTTAAAGGTTGATATATAAAACTGTCTGTTGTAAAGACTGGGTGGATTGTTTATTATGTGAAACAGATCCAAACCTTCCCTCTGTTATGTATATGAAACCAGTGTCAAGTCAAATACAGTAGCCCAGTCTGCTATCCTAGAAGACTGAAGCATCCTGGATGGTGGTGTTGTGTGGCTGCATGTCATAAATTGTACAAAACTGAGGGGAAGTGACAAAACCAATACATATTTTAAAAAAAAAGGGGGGGGGGTGACTTGGGAAAATTAAACCATAATTGTCTTGGTGATTCAATGTACTTCTCAGTGCTTCATTTCCCAGTGCTGACTGAGTCATTTGGAATATACTGGAATGGAATTTCGGTATTGTGTTAAAGAGGAAAAGAAAATAGGAAAGAAGTGGAAGCTTTTGTATTTAAAAACTGTAGGGTACAGTAGTAGTCTGCAAATATCTGAACTATATTTTAAGGTTTCAGTTCAAGTTTTGTGCATTTAATGTGTATCTAGGTGTGTCATCTTATTGATAAGATGATCACTTCTGGGAAGAACTTGTGATAAGAAAGGATGAATGCATTCTATAAAGTCCAGTAATTCCATCTATGAAAGAACCTCTGCAGTCATTAGTTGAATTGATTTGCAGAATATCCCACTACATATATGGGGCATTTGGGGGTTTTATTTTGCTTTGCTGCAATGCTTTTTCTTTTTGTTTTCAGGTCTTGAGTATAAATTTACATAAGTTCTAAAAATGGGAAGAATTTTTCTGGATCATATTGGTGGCACTCGCCTGTTCTCCTGTGCAAACTGCGACACGATTCTGACCAATCGTTCTGAGCTCATCTCCACTCGTTTTACAGGGGCCACAGGAAGAGCCTTTCTTTTTAACAAGGTTGGTAAGAAGCTGAGGGGGAACTACTATTTGCTTTTGAAAAATGAGTTTGTAGGATATGGACCTTGTCATCAGAACTAAAAAAATTTGCTAGTTAAAGTGTGTAATTACTTTTTAAATTTTTATTCTATTTAATAGAATAAATAATATTCTATTATTTGAAGTCAAATTAGGCATTTACTGTTGATGGCAAGCTACCTAAATTAGTTTATCTGCAATACTAAGAGACTATAAAGAGGATTGTGTATAGAGAGGCATCGTGCCACAATGCATGGAGTTTTAACTTTGGAGACTTTGTAATATGAACCTCACATTCACCCTGACAGTGCCTTTTGTCTGTCAAAGGGTTTCAAAGGCATTTGCACTTCTGCTGAGTTAAAAAAAAGTCTAGATAATATTCTGTTTAATTTCTTAAACACATTTAAGCTAACAGTAGCTTGGCAACCTCAGATAAACACAATTACAGGCAATGCTCTGGTTTATTTTTTATTGATCAAATTTGATTTAACTCAACAGATTGAAATACAAAAGTCATAGCTGAGTGAATTGTAGCATTATTTATAAAGCCTTCCATATAGACTCGTCCATGAGATTCACTGAAAAAACAGCAATCTTCCTTTGCTTTCTCACAGAATTCCTAGCCATGTAGTCATTGGTGTGCTTTGGTTTGGGTTTTTTCTTGAAAGCCATTTGGCCATTGGCAGAGTTGATAGAGGCGTCAGTAATGTCTTCACTTAACAGTGCTTTGCCCAGGGATTTCTGGAAGGCTGAATCCTGTCGGTGGTATTTATATGTAAGTGTTAGGCTGCATAGCTATAAAAGAGCTGTGCATCCAATTTCTTTCCCATTCAATAAGCTGGATGCGGGGGTTCAGTTTTTTCTTGTGTTAGGTAGTGGGGTTTAATCACAGAAGTTTGATTTTCACATTTCTGCAGTCAGAAGCCTTACAGGTGAAGCAGAGTAAGCACAGTCAGGTGGGAAATTGAGAAAGCAGTGCAGCCCCATCTAGAATCCTACTGCATGTTAGCAGTTTGGATATAGTTTTGACATCAGCTTCTCAATGAACTACACATCCTGATTCTGTGGTGTGGCTGCCTAAACAAGTTAAAAGTATATTTTAAACTGCTGAGATAGCACACCAAAAAAAGGGTGACTGTTTAGTGGCTGCATTCTCAGCCACTGATTATCCTTTTTCTTAGATGATTGTTTCAAAAGCACACCAAGATTTTCAAAGAAGTACCTCTTTTAATATTTTGGTTCTGATTTCTTGGGAATAAGTGATCACATCAGTTGCTAGAAATAGGTTATGTATATTGCAAGTGGATTAATATCAGTTAGTTTACAAGCTGTTCACTAGGAATTTCTCACCCAGAGTTGAATTCTGCACTTTTGTACGTCTTGTGATAGCATTTCGTGTCTCTGTTACACATCCCCATGAAGCACATCTTTAAAAGTGTTTCCTTCTCAATCAGGAGCTTTTCAAGGGCTCTTGACTTACTCCACTGCGGTTTTCAGTTCATGTGTGGTGCCACAAGCTCTTTACTTTTAAAATGTTGATAGTCGTGCACGTTGTTACCAGCTTTGCTCTAGGCAGACTAATCCTTTCTATTGCCTGTCCCCTGTATCTTTGTATCAGGTGGTAAATCTGCAATACAGTGAAGTTCAGGATCGGGTCATGCTCACTGGCCGCCACATGGTTCGAGACGTGAGCTGCAAGAACTGCAACAGCAAACTGGGTTGGATCTATGAATTTGCCACTGAAGACAGCCAGCGCTACAAGGAAGGCCGTGTTATCCTGGAAAGAGCGTTGGTTCGAGAGAGTGAAGGATTTGAGGAGCATGTTCCATCCGACAATTCCTGAAGAGACTTGAGTCTCTCCTCAGGTTCTCTTCAGTTGAAACTCAAAAATAATAAAATCAACAAAAAAATCTGCTTACATACACTGTCACCTTAGCATCAGAGTCGGATTCATGGACTACAGAGTGGGAAAGATTGTGAGAGTATTTCAGATGGAACCTTCATTTCTTTATTCCTTTTATATTTTACTTTCCCTCCAGCAGCTGTTTGTAGAAAGAATGTTGTGCAGATGCTGTAACTTTTTCTCTCTTGCATTTACATCTGTTAGATTTGAGATTGTATCTACAGATACAGTGGGCTGAAAGGAAAATATTTGGGGGATTTGTCTTTTGTTAGAGAGAAATTCAATGAGTTCTTTTAGTTTGCACAAACTGATGTCAGCATAAAGTTATTTTAAAACTACAGATGTTTTTTAAAAACTATATTCCAATTTTTGGCTTAAGATTTTAGTTAGGGTTGGATTGTTGTTTTTTTTTTTTTTACCCAGTCTTTTCACCTGATTTGCTAGCTAAAGAAAAGCGATCCGAATTTGTGCCGAGTGCTAAAGGTTCAGTGTTGGTACAGCTTGGGCTGGCCCTTGTGCCATATTCTTGTTGAGGTTGATTGGTAGCACAGAGCCCATTATTTCTTGTCATTCTTGACCCAAAGATGTCACCATTCCTTGTTTGTTTGTGAAGTCCCATTCACCATGTAAACTGGTGTTGATTGGAAACTATTCTTGAAATAGGGCAAAACTGCTTGGCTTTTTTTAACTTTAACTGATGTAACTTATAAGCATAGTAAGAATATTAAATAATAGTTGTCTGTTTAGTCTTGCGTTGCTTACAAATCAAGCTGTGTTTGTAATGATAGGGAACCACGGAGAAACTACTGTTTCGGTAGTAATTTTTTTTTTTGATTCTCTACTAATCTCATTAACTAGACAGGGAATTGCAAATCTTAATTCTTCCAGTAGTTTTCTTTAAACCCAGACCTTCCTATGTTAAACACAGCTGCTGTGTAAAAGGAGAAGATTGCCAGCATGTTTGTTCATGCCTAGAGTTACGCAATCTGTATCTCTTGAAAAGATTAACTTAAACAGCTTGTTTTCAAATGCTGCTTCTGGTGTTGAAACCTTTATCTTTCATCTTCGTTGAACCTTTTCATTGTGATGTTACATTTTTATCTTTCTGGGCAGCAGTACATGTCAGCCTAGTAGTAACTAGTGACTTGGATTCTTGCTTTCTTCTTGTAGAGGTCAGCTCTGTTTAAAACGGTGAACTTGCTTGCCTTTTTATGAAAAATGCTTTTCATTAACTTAACTCAAGGGTGCCCAAACACTTTCATTGTGTCTTAAGCCATAAGTTCAGATCTCAAGGGCTGAAGTTTATTTGATTGTTAGATATGTATGATTCCTTATCAAAGATACAAGTCTATTTTTTGTTATTACTGGATAAATTGTGATCAATGTAATAAGTTATCCACAGCAGTACAAGGGGGACGGACGGACGGGGGGGGGAGACGGGGACGGGGGACGACGGACAGAGGGACGGAACTCCACCCAGCCAAACAGATCTGGACTCTGACCTTTCAGAATAACTTTTCTTCACTAGCCACAGCTCCATGTCTGAAACTAAGATGTGGAGGGTGACTATGCAGAGTATTTTTTCTTAATTTTTTGTTGCCAAGTGGCAATTTGGACACCCCTGACTTGAATGTACTGCCTGTTTCATGTAAAAGTAGCTTTATTATAGAATTGTCACGTAGAAGGAAAAGAGTAGATCACATACCAGAGCTGTGCTTGAATCAAGCTGCTTAAACAATAGTGTACTTGTGCCTCAAATGAATCAGTTTTTGCACTGAGTACAGTAGTACCCCATTATCTTGTACTTCTGTCCTTCACAGACCCTGAAAGCCCCATTAGCATGGTTCTCTGCAGTACTTTTCTTGTACTTCTGACATTACAGTACAATAAAGTATGTTTTGTCCTGAACTGATATTTGTTGTTCTTTTTGAGTAATTTTCAAAGAGTCTGTCAACTGAATGACATAACTCGTCTTCCATTCCCTCCTTCCCTACACTGAGTAAATCATTGTGTTTCTAGAGCACAGTGACAAGCTGTTGATGAGCATCTCTCTGAATAGGTGGCAAAAGAGTGTACTGTTGATTTTCAGAAGGTGCTAAGTAAAGCTTCATGCATACCACTTGTACACTTGAAAGCCTTCTATTTGCTCCTGTTAAAGAGAAAATAAAAACAGGAAATTGCTCATTTAATGGAATTCTGTGTGCCCAAACATCTTTCGCTGTCTTTGAAAAGATAGCTACCTAAGCAAAACTCCAGCTTCTACAAGAAATGTGAAGTTTTAGTTTCTGAAATGACTTAGGAATTGAGGAATTGGGAATTTGTATATCTGGAATTCTGTAACCTTTTATCTTTGCATACAAATGTTAGGGAGAAGCCTTCTGCTACCAGCTGGTCAACTTCATAAGCTGTAGCTGAGAGGAACCTCAGTGTAATGGTGTAATGGAGCCTGAGGGGCTTATTCTAACCAATATTAAGACCTCTTTATTTTGGTAGAATGTTAGACAGAGAGATGTTAAAGATTGCTTTCCTCAAAGCCTATGATTTGAAAAACGCTATTGAGGTGAATTCATGAGACTTAATTAAGGAAGTCCACTGCACCTTTAAAAAAGTAGATTTTGGGTTGCTCTTCCAGTCTACGTGCTGTTCCCTTCCATATCGCCTTGATGGCTCTGTGGGAGAGTGCAGCCTCCTAAACTTTGACTGCTCCTCCTTGAGACGCTTTGTGTGTGAATTCAGATAACTTATCTGTAGGGAACAAGAAGATTGGTTACACTACGGCTAGCAACAGACATTGCTGTTTGGTATTAAATGTTTTTTTTTTATTTTGTAGTAGTGCAGTAGCCTTGGATTCCCAAACAAGGCATGGCTGGCACAGCAAAATGTGCCACTATAGGGAACTTGTGCCTGGCATGTGACGGTGTGCCTATGCTGTCTTGGGTGAAGAAGGTAGCAAGGAAATTACAGTGCACAACACGCTCACTGTGCATTTATGGAGACCTTAGAATTTGTGCTTTTAGGCGGCAGCTTGGGCTCACAGTGGTGCTATGCCTTTTGCCTAGTGTTGGCTGTGTTAGAGTTTGCATTACCTGTGCTATGATCTCATCATGTAGTTGCAGTGTAGGTGTACCCAAAACTGAAGGACTTCATTAAAGCTGCTGACTACCATTTCAACAAAACACAGCTTTGGGAAGAGGAAAAGATTGGATGGTGTGTTTGTGGATTGAAAAGTGTTATAGTTGTGCTCTGTATGGATATTCAAAAGAAATTTTTAAATGGCACATGTATCTCATGGCTCTGTTAGAAAAGGTAGCATTGCACTAGGCTCGGGATGGCTATGGGCAGCTGACACAGGCTTGTTCTTAACAGGGCAAACTTGTCTCCAGATTTCTGCCAGAGCTGTAGGAATTAAAGTCAGCAGATCATCAGTGGATTAACAGGTAAGGAACCAGTGAATCTGCTGTTCAGGACACAATTGCCAGGTAGAAGGAAGAGGTGACTGAGCAGGCTAAAGCATTGACATGGGAAACCACTGCCTGAATAATCAACTCTATCTTAGAAGAGAAACCTAAGCTGTGATGTTGCAGTACCATAAATAATAATGCCAGAAATAATGTGTTGTGGTTCCTTCTTGGGCCTGTCTTCACTTCTTTAGCAAAATGATTTAAAAAAAAAAAAGAAAAACAACCAAAAAAACCTCCAGTGAAGCTTGGTTTCCTGTGTCTCTTGAGGGCTGTGCAGACTGCTCCCTGATGCCAGACAGGATGAAATGCTTCAGACTGTTCAGCTGAGGCACTGATTAGGATCACTCTCCAATCTGAGCCCTGTTTTTCCAGGACTTTAAAGAGCTAAGCAATTCTGAGACCCCTTTCTACAAAAGCTGGAGTTAAAAGTGCCCAATAACTTAAAAAGATCACTTTGAGTGGTGAGGAGGAGTATGACCTGATTGACAGTGTCCCTCTGTAAGCCTTTTTCTTCTTTAAGGGAATCTGGAATATTATGGCCAAAGAAAATGTGCTCCTGTCTGTCTCATCAACTGCTATGTGGCAAAGACACTCAAGAGCTGCTCCTGAGCCTAATTTTGACAGTGCGAAGCTTTTCTTGCTCTCACAGTTACTTCCCTCACCACCTCTCTCTGTTGTAAGGATTTCTAGTATGTCTAGGAAATTATAAGGGAAGAAATCTCATGTTTGCTTTCCAGTCTTTTTGTTTACTAATAAGGTTTTTCTTATTTGAATAGATTTCTGTGATGCTAGTAAAAGTGCTGGCAGTCTTAATACCAGCCTTTCACTAGGTAAGGACCCTTCTGGCAGGGTATTGGAGACATTATCATCTCTCTCATCCTCAAGTCTAGGCAGAGGTTATTTGGGAATTATACTTGACTGAACATCCTGCTCTGGGTAGAGATGATATGAAGGAAGACCTCATTCACCCTGTTCGCAGGACACTTCCATTCCGTTGCAATGCTACGTCTCTTTCCATCTGATGTTATCGTAGGTGTGATCTGCTTAAGTTTGCACTGCCACTCCTCCTTTTAAAAGGGTGGTGACTGTGTGACAGCAGTCTGTGCCTCTCAAATATGCCATTTCTCACTCAAGAACGTGAAATACTTACAGTTTGGTACAGGCTGCTCTGTCTGCTGCTCAGTTCGAAGGGGCAGCTGTGTTCCTTTTTGACTTGTTACTACAAAAATAAACGCTGGCACTTGTCTGAAAAATGGCCAGAATCTCTCTGCAATACAAGGCTGGCTATAGAAAAGAAACCCAGATAAATGAGGAAGGAAAACATTTGTGTGTGTGTGAGTGAGGGGAGGGATTCAAGTCTTACTACACCAGACAAATTCACTCAGAGGCAGCAGAGGTGGGAGAAATTCTAGAGGTAAGCTTTCACCTTTATGACTTGTGTGGGTTCAGGGAAAGTGGAAATCACTTCGTGTTGCAGAGGATCTAAGGTCCTCTGATAAATGGAGGAAGAGACTGAATGTAAGCACTTCTGTTTCTTTTGAGAAACATTCTTTAATTTCCTCGCTGTAGGACACCAGTAACATGAAGTGCAGAGCCAGAGCTATGTTTCTGGCCTCTTTGTGTTTGGGTGAAGGCAGCTGGAAAGTATTTGTCCTTCAAAGTAGCCTCTGTTTTTGTTCTCATTATCTGAAGCATTTAACGCTATCAAAACCTTGCATTTCTTATAGAAGTAAAAATAGGAGAAGGAAGAGAAAGCTATGGCATTAATTTGCTTTTCCTAAGTGTCTGACATGAGTAGATGGGAGAGAGAAGGGTGTTTAGAACCTTATGTTTTGACTCTGCCCATGAGAGAGATGTGTGGTTGCCTGACATCAGGATCCAGTGCTGTTTCCCTCTAGGATTCAGGGATGCTTAGATAATGGGATTTTGCTTTGTCCTGTTGTAAACATTTACAAGTGTTTGAAAGAGTAAGTTTACTGAATTACAAGAGACTGCATGCCATAGTTGTCTGCAGACTAATGACAGAATTTGCAATAGATGCAGCTGGTGAAATAGGGAGACCCCTGCCCTACTAGGGGAACACAAAGCAGACTGGCTAGTTCATAGAGGGGTGCTTAACCAAAAAACTGCCTGCTGACTTTCGGCTGTCCTTATAAACCAACTGAGTATCACAACGTCCTGTCCTTGCAACTGTTATTCTAAGCACAACTACCTGGTGAGTACAGAAGGAAGAACACAATGTTTATTACTTTTCAGGGATGGACATTTGCTCCAATGTACTGTCAAGAAGGTGGGATGCTCTGAGGAGGTGGTGAGAACTCAGATGCACCCTATGGACAGGATGCAGAAACAGCCTATGTGGCTCTGCTGCTGGTGGTATTTGGCCAGCAGATCTTTTTCCCCTGTCCTACCCATTTTTATGAGGTTTGGTCTGGAAGTCCATATGCAGATATGCCTTAGTAGAGCAAGTTGCTTAAGCTTCCTTAGGGGATCCTTTTTGCTTTACAGAATAGGGGGAAAGTAAAACCTACCTTAGCTCAGTCAGCACCCACAGATGTACGTGGTGAAATGCATGCAAAAAGCCCATGACTGCATGAATCTGTAATGATTGCTGCACCTTCCCTGCAAAATTAGCACAATTTAAGGATTTGGGGAAGAGCTTGCTTTTGGTAATATTAGAAGGTCACTCCTGGTATCACTACACCAGCATGATGGATTAGTTGTTTCAGCTCAGAAGGGATCAATGGCTTGTTTATTCTGTGTCTCCCTGCTGAGGAGGGATTATCTTAGTGATGTACTCAATAAGCCTCCATTCTTGGGATGAAGTTTCTCAACATGATTTCTTATTGTAGTTAAAAGTACATTAGAGAGATGAGATTTAGGTCACAAAAGTAGAACACTTTAAAAATACCAGTTTTCCGCACATGGTTGTCCTGTCCCTGCATACTTGCAGCCTGGGGGTGACAGT